CCTATAATTTTTTCACAATTATTTTTCAATTAAAGAACACAAATAATTATAAACTATAACTATAATTAATTAATTAAAACGGCTTTCATTTTATGCAATGAATGAATTGGCAATGTATTCATAGACACTGTTTTTGGTATTGAATTTAATTGTAATAATAATAATAGTTATAGTAATTATAAAAACACAAATAAAACATAAGTACTAATAATAATAAACAAAATTAATTATTTTTGCATTAAATCCGAAATTAAATAGTAGTTTGACGTCAAAAATGATGAGAAAAATGTATTGTTTGAAATGTTTTGAGATAATAATCAATGTTTGGATTTATCGGGTATTTAAAAAAACAATTTTTTTGTCGGCAATTAATTATCACTAAAAAGTCTTGAGAATAGAGGCGTTTTGTATCTGTATTTTCGGATCAAAATCATCGCGTGTTTTGCTTTTTATATCCATTTCTTAATAATAATAATAGTAATCAATAATTAATTACAACTAACTATTAATTAATTAATTAAAAACAACAGTTAATTAATCAATCAATTAATGGGTAATAGAGATAATAGTATTATTTTTTTGCTCACATTTTGCGTGTGAATTGTATGTAAGTTTTTTGTATCAATCAATCGGTAATTATAACAGTAATAATAATAATCGTAATAATCAGTGGACACAAAGAAAAATAGAGACACAATCATCGGGTCCTACCGGTGACCACCAGAAGTTGGCCACACGTGGCGGCGGTGGCGGGCGATCATCCGATCACATCCGCGCTATTAAAATCGCTAATATCTGAGTCGTCGTCCTCTTCGTCGTCATCGTCGGTGTCATAACCGGACAGTAAACCCATCTCTTGGATGTCGAACACGTCCTCCAAGTCGAGCGTCAGTAGCCAATGATTATCATCCCTGACCTCCAGATAGTTCCAGAGCAACATATCGCGCAGTGTCTCCAACTCGCCCTCTTGGTTGGCGCGGCGGCGCTGTTGCCGCGGGGGAGGCATCTCTACGCGGCGGCCGTCGGGTCCGGCGTGAAGGTAGAAACAGGCGCCGGCGAACGGACACTCGCCCCGTCCCTGTTGGAAGTATTTGCACGGCTTCGTACTCAACGCCTGTTTGTAGCTCTCGATGAGTGAGTCCTTCTCCGACCGGTCGTCGTACCAGTACTTCGACGGTATGACAAAGTCTGAGGGCACCCGACACTCAGGGCACGCCCTAATCGTGCGGTTCTCGAACTGTTTGGTTTGGCGCCACTTCCGGATGCACGACAAGCAGAAGATGTGGGAACAGCTCTGGAGTATACCGAAGCGGCGCTCAGTGGCCGGCTCTTTCTCGAACACAATGTCCATACATATGCCGCACGCCTTGTCCAGCGAGCGCTGGACGGCGAACGAGAGCTCCATTTCCCGCTCGTGTTCGCGCACACACTCGTCCCGATGGCGCGCCTGTTGGGCCCTGTCGTCCGGGTGCAGGCAGTGGTGTCCGCACAACTCGCACATCACACCGTGCGTGTAGTGGCACTGGCCCTCCGGGTAAGGGCACAGCCCTTCGATGCTCTGCGCCGCGTACGGACACAGTTGGCCACTCGTGGCGCCCGAACGTAGAGGCGGTGCCGCCGGTGGTTGAGGTGTTGGTGCGCCGGTGCTGACGGTGTGCGCCATTTGGGCGTACGTACGGCCCGTATTGGCTGCGGTTTGGCCTGATTTGGAGGTGGTTTTGGTGGTCGGGAGCGACGGTTCCGCATAACCGGAGTCTTCGGACGATTGACGCGAATCGGATTTAGGACTAGTAGTAGTAGTTATAGTAGAAGTTGTGATGGTGTTAGCGGTGGTGCCGCCACCTGTGCCGCCGCCGCTACTGTTAATGGTTTGAGACATCGGTAGCGCCGACGAGTAGTGATGACCACCGGTGTTGGTGGCGGTGACGGCTGCGGTGGAGGCGCTGGCCGGCGGATGAGCTTCGTATTGGTGGTAATGGTTGGCCAAAATGCCGGCGGCGTCCAGATGTACGAAACGACAGGACTCGCCGAACATACAGTGGCCGTACAGGTAATACCAGCAGACGGTCTCCGGTATGGGCACCGATAGGTCCGTGTCGTGCGAGAAGCGACACCTCTGGCCGTCACGACACGAGCCGCGCATATGAAAGCGACAGAGAAGGGCGCTGTCGGCGGTACCACCGCTGGCCACCAGCGATGGTAGTGTTGGTGGCGGTCCCGCACCAGCTGTTCCCGTATTGGCAGCGGCGGTGGTGGTGACGGAGGCCGCCATCAGCTGTTGTTTGATTGATTGGTTGTTGTCTTGTGAGCAACTACTGGTGCCCAACGCAAGCCTATTGATGGCGGCGTCGATGTCGATGACGGCGGTGGCGGCCGAAGAGGTGGTCGACGACGACGACAAGCCTCTGTTGGTGTTGACTATCGCGGGGTTTGTGTTGTTGTTGTTCTGGTGGTGACTGTTGTGGAGGTTGTGATGGATGTGGTCTCTGAGCAGCTGTTGATGGCGTCGATGGTTGAGACTGTGGTGACGATCGCGACGATCACTACCACTACTGCCACTACTATTGGCAGCCATTTATTATTATACACACTGTACGTACAGTCAGTCTCTCTGTGTCTGTCTGTGTATTATTTACAGCACAAACACATACAAAACGCGACAGATATGTGCGCACACACTGTACTACAGCGTGCCTTTACTAGCGATACTGGCGCTACAGTGAGTCCGTGTGATGTATGCCTACTATAGTGGCGATGTTTATGGGCCACACGCTGTACGATGATGTGGCGTTGGTGTGTGCGCTGGCAGTACAGTGCGGTGTCTGGTTGTAGCGCAACGTTGCCGTAACGTTCACTGTGTCTGTGTGTGTATTGCGTTAGAGTGTGTGCGCACGCGCTCTGCTTATTGGTACACATATTCAATGTTTGGTTTCCCTATCGATACAGTCGACGCACGCTTTGAGTAACGCTTTGGGTTTTATTCATGCAATATACCTACAGTATCGAAAATACCTCGTTATAATGAACATAATATACAGAGTGAATGAGTTATATATTTCTCTGTTTCATTACAATAAACTTTTTATTTTAATATTTTTTGTACAGTAGTTATAAATGCATTAAAAGCCAAACATGTCTGATATTAAATTAAAAGGAAATACGCCAAGCTCGCATGTAAATAATTAATTCCAACCAGGTTCATTAAAGTTTTATAAAGAGTTCAATAGAAATTGACTAAAGGATAAAATGCATTAAATTATGAGCAATTTTTATCCATAAATAACGTTTGAACATATAAAACGTGGTAAAAATATAGCAAACAAAAACATCGAGTTAAAGTAAAAAGCACTCTATTTGTGTTAAAAATTATAAAACCGGTAAAAAGTCCCCAAAATTAATTATTTTTAATAACCGTTTGCTAAATAAATAACTCATTTAACTCGTGGTAAAAACACTATGAATAGAAACCTGAATAAAACTAATAAAACCGATAAACTATTATTAACTAATACTAGCGGTAATAGTAATGATAGCGATCGCGATGTTAACATGACGTGTATTAACTCGGCTAATCGTAATAATAATGATCTAGTTCATAATAATAATAATAATTACAAACTTTTAATACACGCGTTTGTATTGATTGTATTTTTCATACTATTGTTACTGTCGTTAATACCGGTGACGAGCGGTGCGGACGACAGTCCACCGGCGCAGCCATCGCTGCCCACCGGTGCCGACACTGGGCTCAATCTGTGTCAACGGTGCCGACTCTTGACCGACTCGTTTCAAGCGGTATAGCATTTATTTTTAGCATGGTGATTTGTATTGGTTGTGGTGATGAGCTTGGTCATTTCTGTATAGCATAAAGAGAGTCAGAGAGAGAGAGAGAGAGAGAGAGAGAGAG